GAGCTGTTTTATGTCTCAAAAAGAAAGCATTAGCGTTTCTTTCACAAAAGGAATTAAGTACCGTTTAATCTTGTCTACCAAAAAAAAAAGATGGGCTTATTGTTGTTTATCTTCTTTTCACGAACTAATATGAAAAGAGTAACTTGTACCATAACCGCATAATGTTAAGTCAATAGAAAGCATAGAAATAATGAAATTATTAGCAATGTGTATCTAGACCTAGATGCAATGGGCTTTAGAATTTCCTTAGTGCTTCTTTACTTATCACTTACTTAACTAAGGCCATAAAGGCCGTTGCCTTCACTGAATAATAACGATGCCCATGTGAAGAAGAGATTTGAGATTCATCAAATCACAGACTATCAAAAAGGTTCCCAGTATTGTTGGTGAGAATTCCCTGCACCTCTATAATTAAAGTATATATATATGTATATACAGTTTCAAACATAATTATTGCTTCAGAATACCAAGGAAAGTGATTTTATTATCATTTGTTGTCCTCTACTTTTTTGTTTTTTGTTAACTATTTTGAAAGTTATATAAAATATTGATGTAATAAATTTTCAATGTCATATCAAATTCATTAAATGCCAACATTACGTGGGCAGTAAATGTAGCCACTGATTCCTACACTCTCCTAAGTCTGAAAGATAGCAGGTGGTGTTTATGTTTTAACACCAACCACCACGAACCAGCACCAGCCGCACCGCCATCAGTATCACCGCCGGCTTCGGTGTTAGCAACGGCTCTATTTGGTGCACCATCAGCATTGGCTATGCTTTCATATAAGGAAAAGCGTTATTTTCATATTCACCTCAACATGGTCGTCATAGTAAATCCTCACAGTAAGAGTTCCTTAAGTATATACACACAAAAAAAGAAAAAAGCGGTTTCTTATGTGCAAATTTTTGCGTGTAAGCTTTTTTTCTCCTTTTTTTTTTGTTTGTTTGTTTTTTTTTTCTTTCTTTTCTTCGCTTTCTCATATACAGTCGCAATGAATAAAAAATATAAACGTTTAATGTCTCAGTGTAGACGTCAACTTTTTAATGAATGATGTCTAAGTGCGGTAAAGGCGAACGAAGGAAAGAGTCGGAGCATTCAATGTTGCATTTTTATTTATATAATTTGTTAAAGCTACGTACATATGTACGTAAGTGTACCTGTATGCCTGTATGCCTGCCTTAATAAACTATGGCTGTAAACGATTAAAACGGCGTTTGCTTGCATCTACACACTTATGCATCCATTATCTCACTTTTTAATAAAAGTCATAAGAAATTTTTATTTAAAATTCATTTACGTGTAAATAGTTTTTATTTTATTTTATTTTTTTTTTATATTTCTTTTAATTTTAGTTTTAAGTTTAAAAACTGTGACATTTTCCTTTAAAACGGAAGTTATTGTATTTCTTTTCATTGTATATATATATTATATATATATAGATATATATATATTAATCTTATTTATTTTAAGTTTCCTGGAGCTTAAATTTTGTTTGTACTTAAAAAAAAAAAAAAAAAAACAAAAAGAGAAGTAAGACGAATAAAACGGTTTGTGTACAATTAAAGCAATGAATATTAATAACTTTTTACATTTTCAATTAAGCGAAAATTATTGTTCAATTCACAACGGAAATTTTGAAATAGACTAAGCAGTTAAAAACCAAATATGCATGAATGGGTCCGTTCTTTGCCTACATAAATTCCAGTATCGAATATTGAAAGAGGGAGCCGGCTTATGATAATCTGTCTCTAATCGATTTTCTGTAGAAGGCTGTGCTTCCATATAACTCTCTTTAACTTTACAGAGATTCCACTCTATCATTGTCATATATTCGCGAGTGCGTGCAAGTCGCATCCGAAATATATTCTATTACTGATCAATAACTAAAAAAACTACAAATGAAAAAGAATTCACATTGGGCTTTGGCTGACATCGTTTGATATGTACCATTATGTGCGGTCTATAGTATTTAATTACAAGACGAGGTACACGTATCGTCCATATCTTATTTCATCATTTATTAATCCAAACTGGATTTTGTGTTTTTATCGCCATTGAACATATCACGATAGGCCTCACAGGCTGATAGTCTGAAAGCAGTCTCATATTTTGTATAGGAAACAACCAATCCACCCAATATTTTGGACAGGAATGCGTCAAGGAAGTTTTTGGTCACCCCTTCACGAGCTGTGAGCTTAACCAAAGATTCTCTATATAAAAATAAACAAGTAAGGAAATTGTAGCCGGTCGTTATCGAATTTTTTATAGTCATCACCGTTATCCTGAAAAAGACTAAAAAACAAAAAGGGGAAAAGAATTACATTTTTTCATTGAGTGGGCCCGTCCGACTTTTTCCGCTTTCAGATTAGAAGTGGAAATATTTGCATGTGCACGTGAATGTGTTGCACTTTATGAGTAACTGGAAAAAAACACGGCAGGCAAAAGCGTTTAAAGTTTTTGTTGCTTGGACATGTGAGCGTTATAAGGGTGTCCTTTGACCGGTTTGGATAATTGGGTCAAACTCTTTCGCAAACTTGTAAGTGATAGCTTCATTATTGTGAACGAGAGCATGTTTACCACAGATACTATCTTGGTAGACAGGCGGAGAGCCGGACATGCTTAGGTGCACTCCGAGTTTGAAACTGGCCAAAAATTTATATACTTTAGGAGGTTTTTGAAGGCTGCTTCTGCGCGTTATAGAGGTATTGCCAAAAAAAAAAGAAGACAACTTTCGATATCGTAAATAATAAGGTACATGTAGTTAATTTTTGCTATTTTTGTACAGGTATTGCTGCATCGCCCATCGAAATTTTCAGGATTTATCTTCCGTACATTATGGGCAATGAGGTAAAAAGCTTATTTTTATTTTATTTTTTTTTTTTAAACAGAGGTGTTCTCACTCAGTACGTGATATCGTAAACGTGTTGTTCGACCGTTTGGTAATTGGGCTGGCCACGTTTGATAATATTCTGATACTCCTCAAAACAAGACTGAAACTTTTTTGACTCATTCTTATGGGCGCATTATCATCTTGGCATTTGGCAGTGTTTGGCATCGATATGCTAATCAGAGTAAGAGTTTCATCATTGAGGATTCCGAGTTATTCGTCCGCAGTGATTCGGCCGGTGATATAAACGACGGAATCAGCTGCATGCCAGAAGTATAGTACAGGAATATAATTGAACTAAGTGACGTGGTTGAGGAGCACTGATCATTTACGGGACAAAAGAATTGGAAAAGTGAGTTCGCTTTGTGATAAACGCGCGTATATGTCTGTTTGTCTCCGGCAGAAGCAATCCAGGAAATGATTTTCAAGTTGGGTTGAGAACGTCTCCCGATTGCGGGTTATTCTCACGGCCTGTCTCCTTCTAATTACTACTTGACCAGATCGATACTATCCTATTTAGCAGATAATTGGTTCACAAAATTTGAAAATGTCCAAACATGGGTTGGAGATCATTTCGCTTCGAAACCGCAAAGTTTGTACCGAGAGAACATCTGCACGCTATCCGATAATAGGCAAAAAACCATTGCTAATGATGATGCATGTTTTGACTATTAAATAAAACAAAATATTTCGTATTTAATTTTGGTTTTTGTCACAAAATACAGAGAATTTGTTTGTATAATTTTAGTAAAGAGAGCCGATCACTTGACCGTCTACTAGAACTGCTCTCGTTACTTGTTAATTTCATGCGCAAACTCGCTAGACAATTAAAATAAGTCTCGCTTGTTGCCGCAAACGACGACCTTGTTCGGCTTCCCAGTTTTAAGATTCGCCCGTAGTTTACGGGCATTATGAGTAAATTTTTCTGAAGCACTTATTACAGCCAGTTAAGGTACATTTTTCTTCTTCGTACTGCGAAGTCTTAACCATAGTTTCTTTTTCTTGGAAAAGTGCAAGAAAGTTCCGTTATGGAACAAAACTATTAATTAACTTAATACACAAATAATCAAAATTGGATAGAAACCTTTATAGAAATTACGTTCGTATATTGTTTGGCACAGTTTTTATGGAACGCGATCTGTAAACATGACAACAAATACCTAGAAATTTTCTAAAGGCACATTTCTCACAAAGGGCTGACGACTGTGGTTAATCTTGTTAACTAAATATAAAATTTTTATACCCTACATCACTTGTGATACAAGGGTATATCAAATTTTTTGCGAATTTATACAATATGCAGAAGGACTTGGTATAGACCCACCTACTAATCATTTCAACGTTACTTTCTAAATCGATCGAAGCTTGTTTATGCATCTGTCCATCTTGCGTTTTGTCTTCACATCAGTGATCACATTCAGAAGTAATTTTGAGTAAATTTGGCACACCGATGTGTTTCGGACCGATAACAAATATTATTAAAAACAATTTCCAGTTGTTCGACCACTTCCCATATAACGCATTGCTTTGAAAAGCCCTTATATGCATAATTGTGTTAAGCGAATAGTTCGTAATCGTAATTTCTCATTTTGACTTCAATGTGTTGCTATCTATATGTCCATTGCTATGCATATATCATTTGCAAATTGTAAGTAAGACCACAAATATATTTGAAATAACATCCCTAGGTAAAATAATAAATGATTCTTTTCACAATGGTATTAAAAACCATTGTTAATTACAAGAATTAAATCGAAATAATTGTATAGAGATACACTGTGTAATTGTCAATTAAAACGTAATAACACCTTATACAAATAATTGCGTAAAAATTGTTAAAGCCAATAATACCAAGCAATTTGAACAATCAATTGATTCAAGTTCTCTAATCGTGCAAGATGAAACTTTTTTCGGAACGCTATCAGAAAATATTAAACGTTACTGTCACTCTTATGAAGCTTTGTGGTGTCAATATTTTTGCGAAAATTTTCGAATGAATCTGATGACTTGGTTCGTTATTGCAGTAATAGCATCATATTTTACCCTATTTACCTATACTTTATACGAAGGTATTCGACATGATTGGGGTATCGTGTTGAAGATCATTACGATGTCAACTACCGCTAGTCAGGTATTTGCCTGAATTTTCAATTAATGTTTTAATATATGGGTTTTTTTTTTGATCATCTTTTAACACATCCAGGGTCTTATTAAATTGCAAAATATTCTTTGTAATCCTAAAACGTTGCGCAAGTTGGCCGAGGATCTGAAGGAAATATATCTTGAGTATGAACGACACACCACTCAAAAATATCCAAAATATTTGCAACGTTCTTTAGCGTTAATAAAGCGAATTAATTATGCATTGCTCGCCTTCTGTCTTACAGCTCTAAGTACAGTGATCATATTGCCGTTTATCTTTTATTATGTAAAGAATGAAAAGCTATTAGTCGGTCCAATGCAAATACCCGGTATTGATGTTAAGGATGGTTGGGGCTTCAGAATTCATTTTTGCGTACAAGCAGCGATGTTAACAATAGGAACCTATGGCAACTTTGCAGCGGATTCTTTTTGCTTTCTATTACTTTCACATACATCCTTGTTTAAGGATTTACTTTATTGTAAATTTCAGGATTTAGATGAAATTTTGCTACAATACCCACGCAATAGCTTAAAATCAAAGCCGCTTTTACAAGACATTCTAAAATGGCATCAGAAACACGTTTTGTAAGTAATAATATTATGAAAAAGAAATCGAAAAAGTAAAAATTTTATAAGACCAACAATAAGCTTTTCATATTTAGATTTATTGAAACCGCTAGTTCCACTTACTTCTGGGTTATATTGGTGCAAATAAGTACCGCTGTCACAGGTATAGTGACTACTTTGGTATGCCAATTCTTGGGTATTTATCCTAATGCTGTGGGTTACTTAATATATTGCGCTGTACTTTTCTACATCTATTGCGGTATAGGAAATTTGTACGAAAGTGTGGTTAGAAAATGTCATTCATTATATAAGAATGAAAAATTTTGAATAAGATAAAATATATTTTTATTTATTTATTTTTTTTTTCGTCCTTTCAGAACGAGGAAGTCATTGACATAATTTATGACTCATTGTGGTACAATTTGACGATAAACGAGCAAAAGTTAATCTTATTCATGCTGCATAAGTCGCAAACTGTTCAAGGCCTAACTATTGGTAAATTAATACCCTTGTCTTTGAATACCGCTTTAAAGCTGACCAGATCTATGTATACCTTGTCGATGATGTTGTTACAATTTTTGGATTAACTTCAAACCATATGCAAATATACAAATCAAAATTTAAATTTAAAAAACACTTGTAAAGAGATTACTAAGAAAGAACACAGGAAGGATTTTATATTTTTTTGCTGGCTTTGGCTGCAGCCTGAAAATAAAAACAAATCTCTTTTTATAATGATTGTCTATAGACTCTAGATGGATAGATTAAGAATTTGTTTTCTTAAATTATTTTATTTCATGCAGTTGTGTCGTGCTTTCAGGCTTAACAATATAAGTTTCTAACGCTTAATCGTCACAAAAAGAAAAAAAAGAAAGAAAAAAAAAACTCGCACTTTTAATGTTAATAAATATGAACAACCTTAAACATTGATATGCCAGCGATTTATTAAAATCATATTTAAATTGAATTTTTAATAGAAAAGCTAAGGAAAAAAAATAAATTGTGTTTTTTCGAAAAATTACGTATTTTATCCTTTAAAGTCTACAAAGCTATTGAAGTGAAATCGCGTTGTTTTCAATTATCATAAAATTTGATATGAGTTCTTCAGAGAAGCTAAACTACGAATTTTCGAAAATTATGTTTTTTATTTTTTTTTTTCCAAAATTGCCGATGGAGCTATTAGTCGAGGTAAATAAGGCCTTCTATAGATATTGCCGTTTATTGACTGCAGCGCGTCATCATGTCATTCATAATAGCGAAAACCGAAAAATGTCGTTTTTGGCATTTTTCCAAGTGGGCGTTAAAATTGTAATAAATTTAACGGGTAAAGAAAAGATTAAATTTCACATTTTTTCTCGAAAGTAGGTGGTCGAGGCTGAAAGACAACAACAACAACAACAACAACAACAACAACAACAACAACAACAACAATAATAATTTCAACTATTTCACTGCGATACACAACATCGCAATCAACTAGCCAGCTAGCCATCCAGCCAGCTAGTCAGCCAGCCAGTCAGCCAGCCAGTCACTACCACCACCATTGGCGATAAGTTTTAATAAATAGAAAAAAATAAAATTGAAACACATTAAAGTAAAGTAAAGAAAATGTTAATAACACAGACGTACATCGAGTAGTAGTAAAATAGTTAACTACTGTCTTGAAATTTGCGTGCTTTGCACTCTGGACCAATAGCAACAACAATAACACAACAACAATAATAAGATTATGAACATACAAATACACACGTATTAATACCGTAAACATGCGAATTAGTTTTTAGAGTATGTGAAGTGAGTTTTAACATTTAAATTTAACAACAAGTGAATGTTTACTGTGAATGTTTGCTGTTACCGTCACCGTCACCGTCACCGTCACCCCGCCGCCTATTTGTCCCAGACACCCGCTTATGTATCCAAAAGGTTCCACTTTTCTTTCTTCGATGTCTTTTATTTTATTGATTTGTTTTTCTAGAGATTGTTTGTTATATATGTATATACATTTTTTTTTTTTTTTTTTTTTCTTTCTTTTTCTTAATGTCACTTTCTGGGCCGCTAAACACTACTAGCACTACCAGAGTGAGAGCATTGAACGTCATTGGAAAATGTATGTTGCCATAAATTAACATAAATGTACACTTAAATGCACACAATTTAGCTTATATTAAGACATTTCTATTCATGTGTATATGTATGCATGCATGCATGCATGCGTGCCTATCTATGTGTGCGTGCGTATCAGTTTGACCGACCGGGGTTCATTGGTACGCGGTGTTCTTTATATACCTCAAACTTATTGTTTATTATTGTTTCCGACTTGTGTTCAAGCAAATATCAAATTGATCTTCACTTTCAGATTGTTCTCGTTTGCTCTGGACCCGGGTAGCGGGACAGGGACAATAGACCATTATATTCACTATATTCAACGTATGATCGTAATTAGTTAACTGGGTATAAGTATTTTCATTAACCCAATCGTTCATTTTGATGCCGTTAATTTATTCGTGTACTCGTCATCACGAATCGATACAAAAACTTCCAAATTTCAGTAAAATGTCGTGCAAATCTCATATAATAATATATTTTCGATGTAAGATACCAGTGAGCCTAAATTAAAATCTTTGATAACTGAACGGAGTGACGTCCCGTATAATTTATTTGCCTACAATTAAGCAAATCGGAAGTAGTCCTTGACTGTGGTAAGAATATGGATGAGGTGGACCAGAAACAGAGAAATTCTTTCTCATCTTATTTTGTGCTTGATGTGTTCCTATATGTTATACGAACCCTTTAATAATAATAATAGTTTATCTAGTAAGAATGAAACCTTACTCGCTTGATTATAATTCAATGGAGAACAGTTACAAATTGTCTGGGTCTCCTGAGACTTTTTCCAGAATGTTTGTAATTAATTTTTCCAGCATTTGGCTGGCGTTTAAAGAAAGGTCATTCCCACCGCTATAATCCGTGTAGAAGTACTTGCCGCAGCCAATGGGATCGTCTTTAAAATAATCTTTTAGTCGATCACAGGAAGTTGTTCTAGATTAATCCCGTCTACTTACTGAATATTACGGTTTTCCTTGCCGATTGCGAAGGTGTTTGTTCGTCCGTCCAGTTTCAAAATTAAGTGGACGGACATGAGCTGAGTTCGTTAGTGTGTTCGTTTAATTTACGCGAGTTGTGCCCGATCGAACAATAGACGATTATCATATGTGCGGACGGATAGACAGAACGATTGGCTGAAATGCGTAAATTCCGTTCAGTGGAAAATACGGTTCTTCCCCTCTTTGAATGTGACTGCAGAAAGTATGTGCTTGATTTATGATCGTTTTTGACCGCATATATCATTATTATTATTATTCTTATTATTATACATTTAGCCAGAGAATAAATTCTAGGGCTAAAGTCTTAAAGCACTAGCATCTAAGGCTTTCGGCTTTATTAAAAACTCTACCGCACTTGAGATTTGAACGCATTGACCATTGAGTTGCTAGTCGAGACTATTGCCTACTCGGCCACTCAGGCGGATTGACCGCATATACAGTTAAGCCATTGGCCACCTAAAGAGAAATCATCTTCAATTTAACGTATGCCAAACAAAAAAAAAAATTGTGCCCGGGATACGTAACATATCAGTCAATAAGTCTTCCGTTTGACACGTACGAAGAAGAAGAGCCCAAGGCCATATCAAAAGCATATCAGAAACTCTCCGAGTATTGAGAAAAGCGCTGGCATAAGTATTTTGCGAGGAAAGTAAAACATCGCTTTTTTTTCGGACACACTTCCTAAATGGCGTGAGTGTTGACAGAGTCATATGATACCTGAATAGTACCAGCCATTAAGCGAAACGTACCATTTTGCATGAACAGCATCCTTTCCCAGTGTGTGCCGCGTCTTGATGATTCAGAGGCGATAGAAGGATATGCAACAATGAATGAAATATGGATTCATCTCTACTTGACAGGATGAAATCGTCTGTCGAGACTGTGTCGAGACAGCAACCAGCGAAAGTTGTTCAAAGCGATCGAAACAGTAATGTCATTCAAACAATGACATTGTTTTTGTGAAGTGCAAGCTAAAGTCATGAAATGTCATAAAGTTTTGACACGTACCGTTTGAAGGTTAGCACTATTCACAAATTATATGAGTCTGTCAGCAGTGTTGTTATGTATACCTTAGACGGGGGACTTATTGAGTCCTATGTTATTTACCTTGGGTGGCAAGTACTTAACGGCCATCCAAAGACGTATATAGTCTTGTTTTTGTCTTCATTATTCATTCTTAAAATGAGAAAAGTCTTCAATATAAGTTTTCGTTGGTTTTTTGCTTCTATAATCATTAGATTGAGTCTATTTGTTGTTTTTTTATTTTCTTTTTTTTATTTGTTGTTGTTTAATTATAGAAAACATTCCGTAATTCAGTTGTCATGACTATACATTAGCAGTTCAATGATCTAAATTATTTATTGCATAGGGCTGGCAGTTTTTCTGAACTACATATCGTGTTCAATGATAAACTTTTAGTCACAAATCTATATAAAACGTGACTTAAATGTAAATTTTAAATTAAAGTAAAAATTAAATTCTTCAATGTATTTTTCATATGAACACCAGAAATCTATTTAATGCAATAAAGTGCAGCTTGTGCTTGGTCTTCGAATTAGAAAAGCGCGAAAAGCTTTTAATAATTATAATCCCTACGCATAGTAATTAAGATCAATTTGAACAAATATTCACAAACTTGTGTTTGATTTTTTGTTTAATTAATTTTTTTTTTTTTGTTTAATTAATTACTTGGATAATTTACAATCAATGCAAAGGTAAATGTTTTTGCAAGGCAAGCAAAACAGCAGAGGTTATTTTCATTTTTATTGTAGGGTATAGTCAAGTGATCGAAAACCATAAGTTCCCATCCACCGATCACATCGAGGAATATCTTCGGTTTAAAAAGGGGCAATAAAGCAACAAGGCATTTGAAAACTCCGTTATCATCCGCATATTATGTCGCCTACGGCAGAATTTCCGACTTCTGGCATCTTTAGAGATGTTGCTCTTTCACATTTTCTTTCTATCATCACTAACATGACTATCGTTAATGTCTTTCTGACTTTCATCACAGCTTACAACAACAAAGTTATTCGTACAACTTGTGTTCATAGATCTTGAACGAGCAAATGTCGTTGCTGTAGCGTTACTATAAGAAGAACTAGCTTGCTTGCGTTGTTTTTGTCGAGTCGTCGACGAAAACTGCCAGTCCATTGCTTTATTGGAGCTTTCCGAAGGAAGCTGGCTGAAAACTCTGAATTATTCATATTTTATTCTTATTGCCATGAACTAAACTAAACTAAGCTAAACTAAACAGGTATGTGACAATTTTTCGGAAATGTCTTTTGAATTTTAATAAATTTTCATGTCAGAATGAAAAAGTTTAATTTGGCAAAGCACAGCCCAATCACGACGTCTTCATGAAGAACTATTAAAACGTGTTTTTTTTTTTTTTCTCTTTAACAAATTTGATAAATTTAAAAGATTTCTTCGTACTGTCATTAATATTAAAATATATGATAAGACAACTGAATAGAAATGTTAAAAAAAAAGTTCGTCTTTTTTTATTGCATTTTTCATCGGAATGAAATGATTTTGAAAATAGTTGTAATTGATTACTTGAGTGCCTGGCTAACTTATAATACTAGAC